AAAGGATATGATAGACTCTGATGACCCCCTATGGAAGGCCTCACCATCCAGGGGGAGCAGAAAGGATATGTGATAGGTAGGGTTTTAGTTGGGGTGTGGTAGGGGAGGAGGGGAGGGAGAGGGAACTGGGATTGACATGTAAAACAATTTGCTTCTAATTCAAATAAAAAAATCTGCAAAAAAAAGAATTCTCTCTTCTTCAATATCTTACATTGATCTGTTAGATGCTATACAGAGCATTTGGAATCTAAAATAACAGAGTTCTTGTCACAAAAGTAAGCAGATAAATGAGGACAGTGTAGAAACCCACTGGTCATATCTATCACACTTTGTCCAGCTTCTTATGACTTAATATATGTCATTTCTGTTCTCTAGACTGTTCTAATTATGCTTTTGTCTGAATGATTTCTATTTGTTAAGTCTACTTTAAAAGGTTATATGATTTGGGTTTATTTTGTTCTTTTAAGAATGAGCAGATGAAACATTGATTTCCAACATGACTATTAAGTGGTTGCCAAGGTGTTTGGGTTATTGGGAGAATCTTCTCTCAAAAGAGACCTGATGCAGTGCTGATACAACTCCAGGTGATCATTTGACAGTGAGTTGTGGAAAGATAAAACTGGCCTTATTCCAGCTTCTGGCTTGTGTTTTGCATTGTGATCTCTCCTGCCACTTGCTTCTGCCAATGAGGTGCTGGCCATTACAAGGTTCTATAGTGGGAAATTACCAATACAGAGTCAGGTAGAAATATAAGGGTATTTAATAGGGAAAAGTCTTACTTACAGAGCGACCTAGCCAGCCGGTGGGTCAGCAGCTTGCACAGCAAGTACCAAAGAGAAACCGAAACCGCAAATGCAGTCACACTATGTCACTCTGACCACGCCCTCACAAGCCTGGTCAGGCACACTTGTAGCCAGCCCCTAAGAAGGCGTGGCTACAGCTTCCCCTACAAAGTTCTCCCCTTAAGGCCAAAACAATAGGGGCCACCTTGAATTCTCTGCTTACAATCTGGTTAGCTAAAAGAACCTATTTCCTTCACAAACTCCAAGCTTGCCATCATTTGCTATAGCAAGTAATGACTAAGACAACATTCAGTAGTTGGCCCCATGATGGGAATGTTCAGAACATCCTCCTTTTCTTGGGTACCTTCCACGGTTTCCTACAGTTTCTTGATCTTCTGCCTATTTCCTGCAACACACTGTGGGCTCTATAAGTATTGAGAAAAGGATGCTTTCTCATTACTTTATACAGAGACTACTTCTGTTTCCTTATGTCTATTGCTATCAAGAAAGAGCATGCAACAGTTAATGGGTTACTTGATTGGAAAATAAAATGCAATCAGAAGTCATGCATTTCCCTCACTGTCAAAAGTGAGTGAGTGGGCCACCATAATAAAAGATGGGAAGTTACCTTTCTTTCCTTGCTCTTTCCTTTTAAAATTTTATGTGATTTTTAAATTTTTTCTGAAACCCAGTGGGATTCATTACTTAGGAGTTATATGTTTGTTTTATGTATTCAAATGAACATACACATAGGAGAGCATGCTGCACCATAATTTTTTTAATTCTTTAATTTAATATATAATTACATAATTTTTCCCCTTTCCCACCTCCAATCCACCCTCCTTGCTCTCAGGCCTTATTTTTTATGTTTTAAAATTTTTTAATTAAATATTTGTGTATGGGTGTTTTGTATGTATTCATGTATGTATTCTGTGTACCATGTATATGTCTGGTGCACTAGAAATGGTGTTACTGGTGATCATGAGCCTCCATGTGGTTGCTGGGAACTAAACCAGGTACTTTGGAAGAGCATCCAATGCTCTTAACTGCTGAGCCATCTCTCCAGCCCTCCTTGTTTTTCTTTTCAGATGTTCTTGCTCTCAACTTCATTTGCTTTTGCCATTCTTTTTATATTCTTTATGTCTTGAGCTAAAGTGAGCCTCTAGTCTCAGAGTCCTTAATAAATGAGACTACAGGCAAGTACCATCTCACGTGGCAGAAGTTTCTCTTTCCCTCTCTCCCTCCTTCCCTCCATCCATCTCTCCTTCCCATTCTCCCTTGATCCCCTCCTCCTTCCTGTTCTCCCTCCTGTCCTCCTTCCTTTTGTCCCTTCCCATCCCCTTGTGCCTTTTGGTTTACTGAGGCAAAGCCATCAAAATAACCTTTTCTTTTTTAAATCACTTTTTTATTTGAATTAGAAACAAGATTGTTTTACATGACAATCCCAGTTCCCTTCTCCCTCCTGTCCTCCCCCATCCCCCCAACTAAAACCCTACCTATCATATATCCTTTCTTCTATTCTTCCCCTGACTCAACCTTTCTGCTCCAATGCTAAGAAGAGCAAGAGTTTTAGTAGCTTGGAATAAAAAAAGAAAAATCAAAACCCCAACACCAGAACAAACAAACCCCAACTGAATATAGGACCTGATAACATTGAATTTCTGAAAGGTGGCTATTTTAATTCAAATAGAAAGTGACAGGTTGTTTTTATCTACTTGACATTGATCTTCCAGCTTATCTGGTTTATGCCAGAAACTAAGAAAGTCAGCATCACCCACCCCTTTGTATGTATCCAGTGTTATAGGATAGCATCCAATAATGTGATGTTACTGACATCATCCCATAGAATGTGATATGCTACTGCTTGTCCTACCTTGTAAACCTAACCTGTGAGGACCTAATTTAGTTATGTACACCCCAGAATTGCACATTCTCATTACGAAAAAGTTAATAAAAGAAACTTTTGAAGTATATGTAGTGATACAGAAGAAAAAGATAGAAACTCCTATTTCCTTACCTATGTTCCTGTGGTTAACTAGAGTTTTTCTTCAAAGAAAAAAATAAAAGGTACAGATGGACTATTCCATAAAAGTACAAGGATTAGATGAAGAAATCATATAGGTTAACAATATGTTGACAGCAAAAACAAGAGTCACAAAATAGAGAACACAAAAACTATTAGAACTAAAAGAAGTGGTAACTATACTACTCCACACACAGCATCTGACAGAAGGAATTTCTGATTGGATTAAGAAGCAAAAGTCAACTCTGTGGTGTGTTTCTGAGACCTACTTAAAGGAAATATCTCATGAATGTTGGATTGGAATTACATTAGTATTCAAATATATTATTTGTTACTCCCTTGAGGTGACTCTCAGCAAAGGCACAGTGCACGAACATGATGAACTCACACATGTCTATGTGACTTAGTTTGTTCTATAGGATGGACAGTCCAAACTAAAAAGGTCTTAATATCAATAACACTATGTCACTAAGGTTTATTGTTATGTCAGATGCATTTCATCCTAGGTATTTCCAATAAGCTTATGAAATTATCTCCTTTTACCTCAAAGCAAAAGTTTTAAGAGCTAAACAGATCTTAAATGGAAATTTACCATGAAATACAAATATTGTGGAGAATAGGCATAGCCAACTATGAAGAGGAGTGTGTGTGTGTGTGTGTGTGTGTGTGTGTGTGTGTGTGTCCTACTGTAGCACAGCACAGCCTTCCTGATGTTACAGATAAAGGTAGGTGATATCTTTAACTAATTAATACATTAGTTTTATTTAAATTATATTTATTTATTTATATGGGACTTGTGCAATTTTGCCATGGTGCATTTGTAAAGATAGAGAACAAGATGCAGGAATCAGTTCTTTTTTTCAAATTATGTGGGTCCCAGAGATAAAATTTAGGTTGTCAGGCTTGGCACAGCTTGCTGTTAGTTGCTGGGCCATCTTATAGGCTCTAGGTATTTATCTTTTTTCTGATTTCTTTGTTGATATTTCTCCCATTTTGTGGTCCTAGGGTTTGGTCCTAGACTTTTATAAATACTGGGCAAGCACTGTACCACTAGCCACAAAAAATCCATATTACTTTGTTGACTCCCCATGGGAAGCCTTACCCTTTCGGAGGAGTGGATGGGGGTAGGAGGAAGGTGGGAGGAGCAGCAGGAGAAGAAGTAGAAACTGGGATTGGTATTTAAAATGAGGAAAGATTGTTTTAAAATTTAAAAATAGATAAGAAAATATTCCACACAGGACGTTGATTTGCAGTCTAGATGTTCTGCTTCTGTTCCTTGTGCTTTGGCATCAAGCATTAAAAAGGTTTTGCTTAAGTCAATGACACACAAAGAAGTTTGCTTCTATTTTGAAAATTATTTCTCACACTTCCCCCTATAGTTGGGTATTTGATTCATTTTGAGTTCATTTTATGATATAGTAGGAAGAATGCATTAGATTTGATATGTCTTTTGGAGGAGTTATATGGCTTTGGCTTAGTTTTTCATAATTCTGTGTCACAATTTGCATATCTGTTGAGATGGCTATCTCTTCTGATGTTATTTTGAAGGATGTCTCTCTCTCTCTGTGTGTGTGTGTGTTTGTGTGTGTGTGTGTGTGTGTGTGTGTGTGAGAGAGAGAGAGAGAGAGAGAGAGAGAGAGAGAGAGAGAGAGAGAGAGAGAGAGAGAGAGAGAGAGAGAGAGAGAGAGAGAGAGAGAGAGAGAGAGAGAGAGAGAGAAATACACATTTGGGGCCCTAATACATGGTACCACTCAGAGAAAAGGATATTAATCATACCAAACCAGTAGCTTGAAGTCATCAGTCTCTGCTGTGGTTAACCTGCTTCTCATCAAAAAGGATACAGCCACCAACCAAGAAGCCCTCTACCATTTCTCTAGGTGTCAGGTTGCTTCATTTGAATACATCCCGCCTCTATCCATTACTGCCTTCATGCAGCCATTTCCTACCTAGAGGCTGTGGTAGGCTCTTTATAGGATTCCTGGCTTGGGATTGTTCCTTGTTCTCAGTTCTTTTAGGGTAGTTCAATCTTAGGCATAGGCTATAGGCTCCCCCTCAAGACAACAAAGGCCACATGGCTGCAGTCCTGAAGACATGTCAAAATGTTTCTCCTCTCCACTGCTGACCCATACCAGAGGATTCACCGTTACATTCCAACCCCCAAATCATTATTTGCTTCCTGAGATCTATAGACTTACCTTGTACACAGTTTTCTCATTCCTTTTTAGCCATGCCTCTGGCTTGCCCTATGGATGGGGTTTCTGTTTTTGCTCCCTCTACTTGAGTCATGTGGTTGGAGCCTTGCGATGCTCCCTCCCTTTGCGGAGTTTTCCTTCTTTCCTTTTCAGTGCCAGGTGACCTATCTCACCCTTGCCTTGTGATTGTAGTTTTTCTCTCTGCAATAGAAACCACTCTGTTATACCAACATGGATCATGACACATGAAGTTGGCTTAAAGTCTGCCATTTACTCCAGAACCCCCACTCAGAAATGATTAATGTATTATTAAAATTAGTCACAATATTAGGTCTCTTGGACTAATTTCTGCCATGTAACTGAAATTCTGTCTTGTGTCCATCATCCCCTAAGCCTTGACCCAGCCCTCTGGTAACTACTACCTTTCTATCCATTGCCTCCATGAGATCCACTGTGTTAGACTCCACATTTAAGTTGAAACATGAAGCATTTACCTTTATGTATGTACCTGAATCGGCTGTCTTAAGGAAACATTATTCAGTTTCTTCCTCATCTTTACAGCGGCAGACTCCCCTTTTATAAACTTAGCAGTGTTCCTGCCATGACTTTATCACCCAGAGACCACTAGGCTCAGCTGAGTAGTCCCTCATCAAAAAGAGCAGAAGCAGTGGGGTTGCTCTGCATGCTTCTTTCCTATAGTTTACAACCACTCACCTCCATTGGCTTTATGTCCACCGTTTTAGAAATCATTGTTTTGTGTAAACTGGCGATTTAAGGCATTTTATTAAGCTGTAAAATACTAAATTTTTCTTCTGATGTAGTGTTAGACCCCCGAAAACTCAAGTATCCGGGGTCTCAGGCCAGGTTCGCGGTCACCCCAATCACCAGGCGGATTCGAGAGCTTGCTGCAAAATGCAGGAGGCTTTATTGTAATTTAACGATTTAAATCCATGTTAGCTCGGGTCTTTCCCCCCCCCGCCATGGCAGACGGCTAGAAAAAGACGGCTCCTTGGGTCTCCCAAAAGATCTTATAGGGCAGCGTAAGGGGAGTGTCTAGGGGTACGCACAGGCTTACGATTGGTGTGCCTCCAGGCTTGGAGGACTTGCCCTGTGTTGATTGGTCAACTGGTTGTTATGGCCCATAGGCCCTCCCAGGGTGGTTGCTATGCTCTCTCATTGTCGTGTGCTTGTCAGTAAAGCACACCCAGGGTCGTAAAGCATAGCGCCACCAGCTAACTTCTGATTGGTTCCTTGTCACAAGACAGGCATCTGACCTCTAAGTGACTAAGGTTCCTTGTCACGAGACAGGCATCTGACCTCTACGTGACCAAGGCAGGTTTATGGCAAGCACGTGTTCGGCTGTTATGGCTGCCAAAAGGAAGCTGGTTCCTTCAGTAGCAAGAAATAGAATCTCTGAGAGCTGGAATTCCTTTTTCTATGGAATATAGACCATCTGTATTTAGCAAGAATCTTAGTAAAACTCACAGAATGAAAATTGGAAGTACGATTTGTAGCAGACTGTTGTGAGAAAGAGATTCTCTGCCTCTCGGAAAGAGACTTCAGAAAGACAGCTTTTCTTTTCTCTTTCTGGCTGGGTTGAGGCTTGAAAGTTCCTATAAAGATAAGAATTCTGACCTCAGTGCTCGCCGAAGTAGAGATACTGAAAGTCCACAAAATAGACCTCCGGCCTGGACTGTGTATACGTATGTCGAAATTGTCACTCCTGGAGTGATCCTGGCACAGCTCCCTTCTGAAAATGGCATTTCATCTGTATCTCTACCATGCATTTAATCTGGTCTTGCTTTATGCCAAAGATTAGTCAATATAAAAATATTTTATATTATGGCTTCAATTGTGCAGAAATTGCACATAAGTTATTTGTTAACAGTTAACAATGTCAATGTCCCCTATTGTGTTGCTACCATATAGTGAAGATGAATGACACATAACCAGCTACCTGGAAGCCACAGTACAAAACTGCATTTTCTAAAATTGTCCACAGGACTGTCTTTCATGTCTCATGCTGTTATGCAAGGTGTCACCTCCTCCGCCTAGAGATGCAGTTTAATTACCCACTTGAATGTGAAAGGGCTTATGACTCAACTCCTAATCAATAGAGTATGGCGGAAGTGACTCAACTTGAGTTCTGTGTGTTGGTCATAGAAAGTGATGTGACATCCACCTTGTTTACAAGAACTGCTCCTCAGAGTCTGAGTCATCAAGTGTGGAGCTTGACTGCTGTGTGGCCTACCAGAAGTATCATGAAACTCCAAACATCAGTCCTCTCAAGATGGCCTGCCAGGGATAGTAGTGAATACCCCCTCAGACAGTCAGGCTTTTCCAACTGTGGTCACAAAAAGGATTGGGAACAAATCATATCTGCTGTGTCCTTGCTGAATTCCTCACTTTGAAATTGCAAACTTAGAGTAAATTTTTGCTAGCTCTATGTACTAAGTTTGGGAATATATTTAACCACCACTCTAGTCACAAAGCCATCCTTCTACCATACCATCAAATCAGGCATCAATGGTTAAATTACATTGATGGGCTTCTTTATGTTTATTTCAAGCACAAACACAATATATGCAATATAAGATACACACCTATTATATCAGTTACTTTACTGTTGCTATGATAAAATACCATGACCAAAGGCAACTTAAGGAAAAGTTCATTTTAACTTATGGTTCCAGAGGGCTATGTGTCCACAATGACAGAGAAGGCATGGGTGCAGGAGTAGGGAGCTGAGAAATCACCCCTCTGCTGCACATGTGGGAAACAGATACAGTAAACTGGAAGTGAGACAAGGTTGTTAAATTTCAAGGTCTTCCCCCAGCAGTGTGACTCTCCCAGCCAGGATTCCCATCTAGGAAGTTCCATAACCTGTCCAAACAGTTGGGTAACTGAGTACTCAAATACACAAGCCTGTGGGAAGGTTTCTTATTCAAACCACCACATCTATAAACAAGGTCATTTTTTGTTTCTCAATCCAGAAACCAGGTAGTCATTGAAACAGTAGTTATCAAAAGGCACTCAATATACCACAAATAAAATTATTTTTGGAGCCTTTGTTCCTACTGCAAAAACAGGCACAACCACCTTTTCAAATACTGTGATACCAAATTTATCCAAGAACCAAGCTTTACCACAGACAAGCTATGATCTGGTTCTGTCTAGATCAGTGGTTCTCAACCTTCCTAATGCTGCATCCTTTTAGTACAGTTCTTGTTGTGGTGACCCCCACCATAAAATTATTTTCCTTGATACTTTATAACTGTAATTTTGCTACTGCTATGAATCATAATGTAAATCTTAATGGAATGGAGATAGAAGTTTGCCAAGGAGGTCATGACCCAAGGTTAAGAATCACTTATCTAGAGATTGATATATGATGGTTGTTCTTTTGGTTTTGAATGAAAAGTCAAAGACCAAGTAGCAAGTAGCAGATAGCCTCATCTAATTGGGTAACGCTATTGAACAGAGTTCCAGATTGAGAATCCCTGGTGGAGCCGAGTGCTTTCCCCTGAGTGAGGTGTCTAAGTAAAAGAGCAAATAACAAGCAGCAGATGGACAGAAAACATCAAATCAAGTGCTTACAACACCTAGAAGGAGTGACTGGGGAAGTCCTAATGAAATCTTCTTAGTGGAGTTCCTGATTGGGTGGTTTCTAGAACAGAGCATTCTCTCTGTAAATTTGACAGTAACCATGGGTAATTCCTCATAGGACCATCTCTGCCTCAGAGCTCCTGCTGAAAACTGACCGTTGACCATAGTGTCCCAGTGCCCACTGGTTTTGCATGCTAATCCTGCCAGGCACCTCTGGGCCCATGTTAGTTGTACAGAGCTAACCTCTGGCAGGGTCAAATACAGGCCCATCTCAGTGGGTCTAGAGTTCAAGGAGTAAGACACAAGCAGTGACACAGACTGACAGGATGGCAACCAAGCTGAAAGCTCATTATAAGCCTAATGCCGCCTAGGCAGTGGGCCCGTTGGAACCCACAGCCTGTCCCAAATGGGGTGTAGGTTTCCAATATCCCGCTTCTGACAACCAGATATAGTGGGAAATTACCAATACGGAGTCAGGTAGAAATATAAGGGTATTTAATAGGGAAAAGCCTTACTTACAGAGCAACCTAGCCAGCCAGCGTGGCAGCAGTCTGTATGCAAGCCCAAAAGAGAAACTGAAAGAGAAAACACAGTCACCCTATGTCCCCTGACCATGCCCTTGAAAGCATGGTCAGGCACACCTGTAGCCAGCCCCTAAGTAGGCGTGGCTACAGCTTCCCCTCCAGGTCTACATTGCAAGGAGTAAGACACAAGCAGTGACACAGACTGACAGGATGGCAACCAAGCTGAAAGCTCATTATAAGCCTAATGCCTGACCCCATTGTTGGCAAACAAGGGACAGTCATTAGGCTGAGGCAATGGTTTTTCTGCCCCCCCCCCTTTCAGAAGTCCTACTTGGCTCTCCACTTTCCGATGTCCATGCTTTGTTTACTTCTGCTTTGTCATACTATAACTGCTCTAAAATTCTCCTTGGTAATTTACAGCTAGCATTCATATCCTTGAGAATATAGTTTCAGTTTCCCAAGTAGTAAGGCATTCTAATACATGGGAGTACAAAGAAAGAACACCCACCCATTTGTACTTTTTGCTTAGATGATGATCAAAAACAAAAAGAAAGAAAAGAAAAGAAACTCATTCATACAAGCAACTCTTTCCTCTGAACCTAGTAATCTAATAGCTAAGGACTCAGTTTTGAGTCTCTTAGCAAAAAGACCTTATTTCACTGAAGTGCAAGCAATAACATCAGACATTCTCTTAGTAGGAACTTACATGTCACTATAGTGGAATTTATTTCCAGGACAGAGACAATAGTAGTGATAGGTTCAAGTGCTAGCTGGAGAAAGAGTAAGCTGTGAAGAGTTGGGGAACAAAATCAGTGTTCCAAATTCTTCTGCACTGTATTCAGACACACACAGGAATGCTTGGGTTGTGATCGTGGAATTGAGAGCTCCAACCTGTCATAGCTCCTTAAGGACTTGAAGTGGAAACAAATGCCTGTCTCTACTCCTCACACCCTTGTAGGTGTCTCTCTGCTTAATACCACCAAAGAATAGTTTCCACTCTCCTCCAGTTCCTTCGGCTACCCTTTATGACGCAGGAAATTTGATCCCAAGAATACAAAATTCAAAAAAGAATTTTAAAAGTCCTTTGAAGGTTCCCTAATATTTTTTTAAAAATATTGATTTCATTTTAAGTGTATGAGTGTTTTGACTGCATGCATGTATGTGAACCACATATGTGCCTGGTGCCCATGAAGTTTAGAAGAGAGTGCCAGATGCCCTAAAACTGGAGTTATAGGTGACTATAAGTCACCATGTGGGTGATGAGAACTGGACCATGGTCCTCTGCAAGAGAAACGAGTGCCCCTCCCAGCATTCTTGCTGAACTCCAGATCTAGGTAAGAGTAGATGTGTGTTGGACTGTGACACCAACGTGTTCCTCAGTAGTGATGACAGCAGCAGATCTTTAGGTTTTCTCTCCTGTATCCTCTGCCACAGTGCTTCTTCCAGGTCCTTCCCTGATCATTTCTGGCCCCCAAGTGCTCCTTCTCTGCCATGTGGCTTCCAAACTCTACTAACTTGGACATACAGTAGCATGGGCAGGTGGGCCCAGGACAACCATAACTAGACAGATCGTGGGAAAGTCCCCATTCACTTTCACCCATGTCTTGGAGCTGTCTATGTGTTCCTTCTCTGTCCATGGCACCTTCAGTTTGCTAATTCAGTGCCCACTATTGTTTATTTCCTTTGGAGATGCTGAGAAGGCTCCAAGTCTGTACCAGTATGACTGGCTGCTGATCAAATGATATAGAGACCCTTCCAAAGGG